TAGGGAAATAATGCTTTGACACTACTAGTCCTTGATAAAACTTGTTTTATCTTATCTATTATTTTGTTTGAAGATACAAGCTTGTTACTGACATCTGAGATTGCACTATATAATGTGAAGATTGCAATAGTTGGTTTTACTGTGGTTTTTTTATATGCAGTAGGAATCTGACACTCCCACTTCTTTCATTTAATCTTACACACTACATCAGTCCAATTCAATAGCTCTTGATCCTCAGCTAATCTCCTGCTTGCCCTTAGCCACTGTGTTCTTTTCCTGCCCCTTGCCTTCTTCCTCCAGGGTAAGGAGTTGGTCTTAGAAGTGTTTCTCATATGTACTACCTGTCAGGCAAATGTTATTGTTTCTTATGACACTCCCACTTCTTTCATTTAATCTTACACACTACATCAGTCCAATTCAATAGCTCTTGATCCTCAGCTAATCTCCTGCTTGCCCTTAGCCACTGTGTTCTTTTCCTGCCCCTTGCCTTCTTCCTCCAGGGTAAGGAGTTGGTCTTAGAAGTGTTTCTCATATGTACTACCTGTCAGGCAAATGTTATTGTTTCTTAAACATGGTTTCATATGTACTACCTGTCAGGCAAATGTCATTGTTTTTTTAACATGGTTACTGTGTCTGCAGCTCATTGTACACTGTAATTAAATGTATTTCTAGTTGAACTCTGAATCTTTGCAGCACACCTAATTCACTTCGGGGGTTTTGTTTTGTTTTTAAGGAAAGCTTTTGAGTGTAGCAGTTAAAACTTCTGCTAAAGGGGGTTTTGTTTGAATTTAGTATTCCTGCCAAGTGCCAGCCACAGCAAGAGTGTGTGTACATTGTTACACATTTCTGAGCCAGTAAAGTTCAACTTTTATATACTAAATGTTTTAAATAATGGAACAGTTTGACCTGATATGGTCATGTGCATCTTGTGGGGCTTTCCTTGCAATGATTTTTTGTTTCCTAATCCTGCCCTACATAGATGAGGATAGAAGGTGGAAAAGTTAATCTGGAGGATGATGAGAGCTGGGTAAGTGACTATGGGAGGGCATTTATGATGAGCTGCTTTAGAGTTCAGCCCAAACCAGCCATTTTAAGTTATCTTACTTGAAAATATTCTGTGTGGGTGTACGAACTCCTGACTAGCCAGCAGAGTCATGTCCTGAACATATGTTCCCCTCACCTTTCCCTGAGAAGGGAATTGTATGAAGTCTTGCACTGCTGGCTGTCTCTCCAGGCCTCTTGGAGCTATTCTCCTGACACAGCAATAAGAAGCATTTGATCTTTTTGTAAGCTCTACCACGTTTACATCTGCAGAGTTGCCTCCACTGTTGTTAATGAATGTTCAGAACCAGCACAAAATGTGGGTGTTAATCAGGGTTATTCCTTTAACTGTCATAAAGCCCAAAAGCAATGCAGCTGCTTGCAGTTAACTCTCAAGCTATTAAACACTTAATTAACATGACAGGTAGTTATTTTTTACATGTTTATGTTGCAAGGTAGGGAGATTTTGATCTTTTAAAACACTTGTATGAGAGGTTAAACTAATCAAGGTAATAATTGTGCTATTACACATCGATAAAAGAAACTTTTGATCTACAGTGTCTATGTATTCAATGAAAACCACCTTCAGATGCTAAAATTAACTAAGTTTATCTATTTTGTAATTTACTTTATAAATAAAGATTGATGCTTTAGTTTGGTATTGTCTGAGTCATTTCATACTAACGAAGATCTCTATTCCAACATTGGGATGTGTAACAGGCAGTTCCCATGGGATTAGAAAGTAGTATAGAGAAAGTGATTGCAGGGTGTAAGCAGGGAGGGAGGAGAGTGGAAACAATTCCTGACTGTTGCTGTTGGACAAAAATCACTATGTTAGAAACAGCTACTTTCCTGTTGCCTTATGGAAGAAGCATAGGGGACTCAATAACAGTATCCGAGTGTGTTCATCTCTTGAGGTTTTTTGTTTTCAATAATAAGCCCCTTCAAAAATTTCTTCTTTTAAAATGCTGAAAGTAATTGACTGGTAATTGAACAGGTATATCTGTTGTTACTTGCTCAGCATGAGCAGTTATAATTAAACCACTCAAATGATGTTCCATTAATGCTTTTTTTGTCTAAACTGAAAATGATTTGCTTTAAGACCTCCTGTTGCCCTGAAAATTCAAGCTGAAAAGAACACTTAGTGGTTTGGCTTTTCTCTTAACTGTCCTGCCAACACATCGTCATGGGGAAATCTGCGATACAGCAATTTTGCAACTGAAGGAAATCTGGAGATGTGTTCAATTAGGATTTAAGAGAATGATTTTAATGCAAAATGCTCTACAGAAAGAAAGCTATAAGAGGAGCAGGTGTAAGGTAAGGTGTAAGGAGGGAACAGGCCTCTGTGTGACCGTGAATATCAGCAGTTTTATTTGCCTTTTGGTCAGTGGGTGGTAAATAAAACTCCCAGCTGGCCCACTCAAATCTAAAGAGGAGGCACTGCTTCGCATTTCAGTAATATGAAGTACTGTCTGGTAAAAGGTATGTTGACTCAAAAGGCAACTGGACAAACTGATCGAAGTTTGATAGAGGCTTAGTAACTAACAAAGACCTTGCGTCCTTTTCAGAGTTAATGAGCTGCAAACTGTACAAAGCCATTGCATTCCATGTATCTCTACATGTGTGTCTTGTTCTTGATTTCGTTCCTCAGCAGCCACTGGGCTCATGTCCCAGCCCTGGGGCTGTACACACACAGCAGCTCTGGCTCACAGCAGCCATTCTGTTACCTCCTGCTGTAGCCAAGGGGAGAACTCTTGCCCTTCCTACTAGGTTTTCTTAAGAGCAATTTTCTTTGGCTCATTAGCATTTGCTTTTATCTTGCTATTGCTTTCTAAAGTCTTACTTGGAATTGTAATAAATCACTCTTGCTGGTTTGTGTTCATACTTCCTCCTGAGGGTGACTGAATTGCTTTATGGTACAGTTCTCTAGATCCTTAATGTGCAAACAGTTGGGTCTTTCACTGAGGAGAGTGACCCTCTAATGCCCTCCATGGCACTGTCCCATGTAGGCCAACCATATTAACCCTGTCTGTGAAAAAAAGAACATCTTCCAGGTGGAGCTCTCTTCACTCACCAGGAACTGTACTGGATTTCTCTCTCCTCCAGTTCTATGAAACTAGGTCACCCCATTATTCACAATTAGCTTGAATGACTCGAGTTACTGATTTTTATCTTAGAAAGCTTTACTATAATAATTAACACAAAGAACTATGAATATTTTTTGCAAGGAATAAAGGAAACAAGTCAGCTACTCTTAGCCCCTGTTAATGTCTATAGGTGCTGACTTTATTGTATGAAGACCTCAAAAAAAATCTGGGATGGGAAAGGGAAATTCCCTCTCCTTGGACCCTCCGTATTTTTAAAAAAAATAGTTCCCACATAAGCTAGCTAGGCTTTACCTAATTAACACATTTTTATTCCTCACTACTAAAGTTCATGAAGTCTTTTTTTTAAATTGTAGGAAATGGTTGCTAACATGCTTCACTTTCAGTGAAGGAGGCAAAACTACTGCCAAAACCTAATGTACTGAGAGCAGCACTGGAAATAGTCAGGGTCTGCTCTAACAGGATAGAAACTCACATGTGTGTAGCTAAGATTCTCCTAATAGGTCTGCTCTAACAGGATAGAAACTCACGTGTGTAGCTAAGATTCTCCTAATGTTTAAGAACATTGCAGTTGGGGTGTGAACAAAGACCTTCTACTGCAACTGAGGTGCACAGAGCAGACTGGAGAGTTCCTAACAGCAAACACACTTCAGGACAACACTATGGATGTATTCCAGCTCTAGGGAATAGCAGAAAGCAGACATGATCCAGTAAGAAACCTTCATGTAACAGCTGGAGATGTTTAAAACTGAAGAAATGGCTTCAGCAGATTTTATTCTGATTTAGCTTTAGAGCAGCTTCTTTCTCCACAAGCTCTGGTTCAGAGTTTTACTCCATGCAAAGAGGTTAGCATAATGTTATTGACAGAAATGCAAGCGACAGAAAATTATGATTAGTTCCAAGGCTCAAAGTTTAAGTAGCAGAAAGATTCATCTGCAGTGATAATGCAGAGTTTTTATTTATGGTAACAGCTTTTTACAACTTATGCTTAATAAAACTAGAAGCCAATTGGGTGGATCCCTTCTAATTAATCTGTTTGAAAAGGCAATACAAAATGAGGTAATAGACAGAAATCTAGTTGTGTAAATACATTAGAAATCACATCCTTTCTACAAAAAGATATATATCCCTGAATGCAGTCAGATAATTTCTCGGTGTTTCCTCTTCTTTTAATAATCATGGAATTTCAAATTTAACTGTATGGCAGATTATTTTCCTACCCCTAAGCTGCCAAGAAAGTTCATGAGGTGCAAAATGGGTTTATATGAAAATAACCTCTTTTGTTTACAATGGTAGTATTTTCATACTTAGTCCAAAGTATCTGGAATCTTACTAGTCACTTTCATTTTGCTTTGATCTGTCAGTGTTTCTATTCTGAAAAGCTTTCCATGTTGCCTTTTTGGAACTGTATTTTAATATTTACACCATATATTAAAAGTAGCTTAATTATTTGACTATGGAAAATGCAGAATTGTTCTAACAGCATTATTCTGACCCCTTTAACAAAAGAAACCATCTGTACTTACAATCCACATTGAATCCTCTCCTAAAGTACTAAAAATACTCAATCCTCTCCTAAAACAGTCAAAGAAGCTAAGAGTCTTCCTATGAATAAAAATTAAATGGTTTGTCATCATACAGAGTTCACTGTAATAAAGCATTTGCAAGTGCAAATGCATCTGCACTGCAAGATAATTATTTTGCTCAGGAATCCCTGAAAGCAAAAAACAACCTCGAATACGTCTTGCAGCATTTATTTGACTAAAACTAATGCCCAGAAGACTTTCTGAAAAATAGCTGCATTAAAACATGCTATTAGACCACTCACACTAATATGAATTCTCAAATTAAACTGCTAAATAGAAGTTTGTTTTAAACGGCCAATACTGTTGTCTTTTCCCCAAAGGGCATTAAGTGCCATTTACAGCTATTAAATGTTTTTGTCTTCAATAGAAGGTCCAGTACACCTGATCAAGAAAGCAATCTGCAGAAAAAACACTCTGCCCTGTTACTGTCATGTGCCTTTGCAGCAGACATAAATGACACTTGGAAATAAAAAGAATCAAATAGATTTTAATATGGAAATGCATTTGAAAAGCTGTGGAGAAGATGATGTACCAGCACTGCAATTTGTTAATACAGAAGAAATGTTCTCATATTAAGGGCCCAGTGGCTGAGGAGATGTGAATGCGCTACTGAGCTAACAAAAAGAGCACAATGGTGACAGGTGAACAGCACATCTCATGTGTGTGAGAAAGTTCTGGAAAGGAGAAAAGCCAGTAATGTTGCCCTAAATACTGATTGAATATTTGCTACTGGGGTTTACTCCATTATAAAAACATTTGTGTACCAGAAGAAACATATCAATTTTTCATCTCTTCGAGATGCTGTTGGACCTGCAAGAGAACAGACAGAAATGTAAATAACTGACACTGCAACCAGACACATGGTCACACACATTCAAAATAAGCCTTTTATCTGAGAGACTACATACCATCTTAATGTCTGGCCTTCTGTTTTTTTTGTCATTCAGACATCTCTGGGCAATTGAATACATTTTATGGACTGAAGGTACATCCCAGTCACTCATCTTTTTATCAACATAATCCTCAATAGTTGCTTCCTCATCCTCAATTTCATCTTTGATACCTAACTACAAGAGAGATTGAACCAATCAGCAAATAATGTTGTAAGCATCTGAACGTTATGTATTCCACACTAACACTTTGAAAACTGCCTTTTGAGTTTTCATTTCTTTTCTCAACCACTTTT